TTTGGTTGTTAAGGACTCGCTCATGCTGGTGAACAGCTCCTAAAAGAACATTTCTTTTCTTAATTTAAAGAACTTTTAAAAACCCTTTTAAAAAGACAAGTGGAATTTTGTGGAATTGAAAAATTCCATGTCCAGGTTCTTTAGATATTTAAAAGGTTCTTTATAGAACTTTTTCCCTAATATGGACAAAAGCATCCAGCTATCGCTGTAGCTAAGCTGAATAAAAAATGTGAAGACAATACATGCACATTTGCGACAATATAGTTTGTGTTTTTCAAGTCATCTCCAGGTAATAAATAAAGTATCTGAATAATGCAGTGCAAACTGACATAGCATTTATTACAGTGGTCTATAGAATCTATATGTCCTATATCTATGCCCTATTCTGTGATTAAAAAAAATAAAAATAGTATAAACAAATCTTTAAATTGCCATTAAGAAAAAAAATATGACACAATACAAATTATTGGTAATTGTCAGTCTATTTGACTTCTTTGACAATTTCTGTCCCCCTCACTTCTGAAATGATGGCTACGCCCCTGTTAGCATGTGTGTTTGCAGAAGTGTGTATATAAAATATGAAATTGAAAGGGGCACAGTTCATCCTCATATGTCGAAACTTCAGCGTTTGCTCTGATTCCCAGACTCAGTGTGTGGGTGTTTAATCTCTCTGTGTCATTAGGGGATGCAGACTTGCACTTGCACTCTCAGACTTGCACTCTCAGACACTTGAGCTTCTGCAATTGACATCACTTGCAGTCTTTTTTATTTTTTATTTTGTTCTATTTATTGATACATTTTTGTTTAAATCTCTTAACATTATACAACAGTAGCCAAGTGGTGAAGACAAGAAAAAAGAAACTAAATTACAATGTCACTTGCAATCGCCACTTGCACTCTCCGCTACCTGTAGAGGTGGACAGTAACGAAGTACATTTACTTGAGTACTGTACTTAAGTACACTTTTTGAGTATCTGTGAGTATAATTTTTTCTGGAAACTTGCTACTTCAACTTCACTACATTTGACAGACGAATATCGTACTTTTTACTCCGCTACATTTATATCAAGGTCCCCAAGTAGAAAGTCATTATATGTAGCAGTTTTTCCAGTGTCTGCATTTATTCACTGAACCCTTTTTTCTGAAAATCCGGCCTGCGAACTGCCAGGACCTTCCAGTGTTGCCAAGTCTTACAGTATTTCTATGTCTATAGTTTTCCGCCTAGCTTTGAATGGATGTTTGGCTGATTTTTTTAACGCAAATCTGGCAACCACTGGACTTTCCCCGCTAAACTAATGTTAACGTCTGCGCTACTGCACAGCTAAAAGTGCTCTAAAAAGGCAAATAAGATAATAAAAGACGAAAAAGGCACATATTAGTGTGGTGTGATCATCTGTGTGCTCACCACATTGATTTTAAATGGACAACTGTATGTGATGCCTTACGTAGGCCGAGCGCTCCGATCAAAGATCATAGAAGATAAATGATCGGCATACGGTAAATAAAAATTACCTACACCTTGATCTACATGACAGAGAAAATGTATAGTTTTTATTATCACAGTATCCACAAATTTACTATTCTCTCACTATAGTAACCATTATGCTATTCGTACGCTGTAAAAAGTGATTAGTTGAACTTACTTGGAAAACCTGTGGAAACTGATTGCCTCAAATTTCTCAAGCAAATTAGTTTATCATTTTTGAGTTAAAACTTACTGTAACTTTGTATAGGTAACTTGTGTATATGTATAGGTTACCAGAAAACTTGAGTGTTGCTAACTCAATTTGACAAGTTCAGCCAACTTCCAGATGTAAGTTAAGCTTAGCGCACGGAACTCAAACAAAACAGTTCTCTTAACAAGTCTGCTTTGT